GCTAATTAAAAAATAAAATTGATCTGTTTTGCTTGAAAACATGAACGCAATTATGAATTTTGTTCCTTATTTTATCACCACACTGTATATATTTTTTCTATAATGGTTTCCTAATCATATAGAAAAAATTAAAGTTTATCAATTTAATTTTTTGCATGAATAGATATTGTTCTCAAAAACTGTAATAATTGGAAATTGTATAAAAAAAAATCGGGAAATCTGTGGAATTATCAGATTTTCTTCACGATGTCTTAGTGGTTATCATATTTTTTTCTAAATACGGACTCGATTATTTTCTTCCTGATTAGTTTAATGCTTACTACTCAGCAAATTGAAATGTCATTTTAGGCTCTAGTAAAATAGTAATACTTATATAATCAACATTTGATTTGGCACTTAGGTACCGGTAAATATTTTTCAAATTTTAATTTGATTTAATTACTTATTTTTAACAGTAATATTGTTATAGGAAAATATCAGTTCCAAAAGAAAACAAGAAACATAATAAATGATAAGATAAAAACAAGACACAATTAGAAAATGAAGTAATTCATAAAAATGTTTTTAATTTTTTTTAATTGTTATTTGTATTAATTTATAAGAAAAATTAAAACGAATATTAGATTAAAATAGTTTTATTGGAAAACATTTCGAAATACATATAAAAATAACTAAATAAAAATATTAAAAAAAACGAAACAGAAATCTTAAAAAAACAGTTTTAAGACCAGTGTCTTGATAATGGATGGAATATATCAATATATATTTCAGGTGCGGATAATCAATCAGCAGCTAAAATACGAGCAATTCGCCTAACACACTGTATATCTACTCCTAATTTAGGATAACAGAAAAACACTTCTAAAAATAAAACTAAAATTTGTTATGAATAATTAGTTATGTGGAAGGAAATATCTAAGAAATGGAACTCATCTTCTTAATCTTAGATAAATGATTTTTAATGAAAAATTTTAAGTCTGACCATTTCCTTCCCGCAAAAACCTCATGGTTTTCAATTACTTCCATACATTCTAGTTTACCTGGTAAAGAATTCTTTTTTATAAATTTTGTGAATTTAGAATACATAATTTTCTTTTCGTTATCGGTCCATGGTCGTTTTGAACATTTCTTGCTGGTGGTTTTTTCCATTGTGCTGACACTACTTTTTCGTTTTTTCCCTAAAAATATAGCTAATTTTTAATATTGCCTACGCAAATGTTACAAACATTTTAATAGTAATTTTCACTTATTTTACAATTTAATCAAAAATATTTACATTACATTAAGTCAATAAACAATTATCAAAATAATAATTGCCTAGATATTTTTAATAGTTTAGCTATTTACCCTTTAAAACAAGCTCTTCATTTTGTTCGGTACCTTCGGAGAAATTATGGGTACTGTCATCCTCACTATCTGAAACTGTATCCATTGTGGTGGTTTCGTTTAGTGCTGCCATGTCTAAAAACAAAATAAGAAAAGCAAAGCTAAGTAAAATATTTCTCTAAAACACGCATCTTAGAATCATCTTTATTTATAATAACGAGTTGTATATATAAAACGTAATACCATATTTAGTTAAATAGTTAAAACAAGTGTGAATAAATGATTAAAATTTTCATTTATCACATTTTTTAAGTACCTATTTCTTACCTTCAATATTTATATCTTTTAACTGCTTGCCACTAAATTTATGAGCTTCGCCTTGGTCTACTGCTAATAGTAAGCGACTGACTTTGGTTAACTCTACAGCATTTTCTTGTAGCCTATAAAACTCCCTATGAACCCGTACATCATGTCCTAAATGCCTGGCCAACCAATCGTATTCGTTCTCTGTCAAGTCGAAAACTTGACAGACAGTAGCGACACATTTTCTTAATTTTGTGCTGGTAATTAGTTCCGGTGACTCTAAACATGCTTCTTGGCACCATTTTTTAAGACAGTCGTGACCTCTAAGATGACTTGTTTTCGAATTAGGAATTGCAAATATATAGGGATTTTCACAAGCTATACCAAACTGTGCACGCTTAGAAATTAGTAATTCGACAGATTCCTTAAGTTCTTTTGTTAATAAAATAGGCACAATTCTACCTCGCTTCCCGATTACTTTTAGGATTGTTAAGCTGGAGGCCAGTTTTAGTTCAATTGGTGATAATGAATTTTTCATCTCTTCAGTTCCAGTACTTTTCCAATCTGGCCTTCGTGCAAATTGATCAAGTGTTATTTTAGCTGTTTCACCTGACCGTCTTTTATTAAATAAAATTATTCGACTCAAAGTAAGAGATTCTGTTTTCTTTTGCCATTTTTATTTCATTTTCTAGAAAGTTACTTAACTTTACCAAATCACTAGTGATTGGCAATAAATCTGCTGCAGTTTGCTTTCTTAAATACAAAGTGGACAAAGCGTGTGTAGAAATTCTAATACTCCACTCTAAATTAAGTAGGTCTAAAAATGACAAAAGTTTATTATTCTTTTTTATATCCCCTTTTCGTAGACTTTGTCCCCTTTCAATAGCGGCACATTTTTTAATTGCGTGTCCTATTTTCAACGCCAATGATGGTATTTGAAACTCTGGTTTTTTTGTTGGGTCGTCATGTTGAGTTTTGCAAAGGGCCTAAAACATATGATATGGTGATTCTTAAATATCTTACCATGCATCATGGATAAAATTATCATTAGATCAACATTAATAATAAAACTTTGACAACAGAGTGTTTCAATTTTTGATGAGGATGTTTGTGGAAATAACTATGGTATTATAGATCCACAGGTCTCAGTAACCTTTCAAGTTTTTAAACTTTTTCGACAAACATTGTCATAAAAATTATTTAGGAAATATTTAATTATAAACTCTATCTCTAGAGTCTCTAGATTCGGTCCTATTACAATTAACTCCCACAAATGTGATTATTATAAGCTGCTCTATAATGAGAACTGAAAAATAAAAGAAACAAGGAACTAGGTTTAAAAATTAAGTATAAGCAGTATCTATCTAATTAATAGTAAATAAAAATCTACAGTAATGAAATATCACATAAATTCGATTATGAAAATGATCGTAAGACATTTATATAGAGTAAAAAATATATTTATATAATTGTAATATTTAATTTATTAGTATTACGTAATGAAAAAAATAGTATTTCTGGTGTAAAACGTTAGTTGATCTATTTTTTTTTTTGTAAAATATCATAGATTTAAAAACATACCTTTGTTGCATTTACAATGGCATCAAATTTTTCAGGAAGAAGCATTTCGCTGAAATTTTCAAAAATCTCTCCTTGAGTTTTCAATTCCAAACCTAAACGTCCAAGTTGGCGCATTGATTGACGTATGAATTGTGCTTGGGTGGTATTGTATTTCTCAAAAAGAAATGCACCAAACCGAAGAATTGTATCGTCCGACTTAACTAGGTTAGAAATTTGGTCGGTTTTAAAATTATTTAACACGTTTTCGGTAAAGGAAAGTGTAAAGTTTCTACCCAAGATACCATTTAATAATGCTGAACTCTCAGCAATTGGTCCCTTTGATGCAAATTTTTCATTGATTTTTTTTAAATTTTTGTCTAATTTGATGGTACATTTATATTTTAAATGATACCAAATATGTTTTTTTAAGTAAAAGCCTAAACATTCCGGACAAGGGCCATAATCATGGATAGATGTATATTTTTCTTCTCGCAGCGAGGGCCTTCTCGTTAAAATCAGATCTCCACACTTAGTAGCTAATACTTCGCAATTATGATAAAAATCTCCATATTTGGTTAAATTTTGAAATGCGTCCCTACGTTTCTTTGAACCTTTGGGCATGGCTAAAATTTTGGCTACCTCGATCTCGTTACCATGTATTGTCTCAATATGACGAGCCAAATTATTACATAATATTTTTTGGCAAAAATAACAGAAATGACCCTTCTCTCGTATTCGATTTTTATTAACGGTGTTTTGTTGATTAGTTTTAAAAAATATAGGTTCTTGAACTTTAATTTCAATATCTAATTTAGTTTCATCGTCTGTTGAGGATGACGACATAATTGATTCATCTGTTTCTTTATAAATATAATTTAAATTTTTGATTATATTTATATCAACTACCGAAGAATTTGTTCTTGATAGGCTTTCATTTTCTATATTTGAACGAACAACCGTTGATTTTCTTGTTTCAGTATTATAAATATGTCTTGAGCTTTGGTTATTTTTGCTGTTACTTGAACAACTGGAAGCAATACTACTAACATTCGGCGAATATTCACTACCAGAATCTTCAAATGGGTCATGTATAGATTCCGAATCAGTATTATTATCTGATTCGACTGTTCTGCTTCTTAGACCATACCTTTTACCGGTTCTGTACTGACTTGACTTTGGTTTCTATCTGCATAATGACTAACATCATTGTAATCCATATATTCAGTTAAGTTTATCTTTGCTCTGTTTGCGCTATTTTCAACACATCGTTTTATCGGTGAAATAAGTGCTACAGGTTTCGATGAACTTTGAACAGGTGAATCTAAATTATTATTAAAAATGTCAGTGTTTCAAGCTATTACAAGTAAATAATATTATACCTTCGAGTAACGTCTTCCTTAGATGGGGTACATCAATAAGTTTTAAATCTACACCTTTCGTTGTTTCATATAAAGGCTTATCAATAAATTCCAAAATTTTTCGATCTTTATGGCAAACTAAATTTACTAAACGCTTCCCTCTGGTTTCCATTTTAATATGTGCTAAAATTAAAGAAAACACCATAGGTAGAATATAGAAAAAATGTTTTTTATTTATTCGATACCAACTGTTACCTTTAATTTGTAATAAATTTATAACCATTATTATAACATTACATATAATGGGTGATTCATTAATAGTGCCAACCTACTCTATATCAGAAAACATTTGTCTGACTTTTCGGGATTTTGTTTTATAAAATCGGCCAAAAAGTATACCTAAAAATATTTTTGGCTTGGTATCTTGCCATTAAATAAAGAAGTGTATTATTT